CTGCCTTTCGAATATCGTAAGAGAGTTGCAGTGAACTCCGAAGTTGAATGTAAAATTCCCGTTGACAGTGGAGCTGGGCTTTCCTGGTTCTCGGGGGATGTTGGAATTTGATTTTCATCATGGTTTTCCTACTGATGTCTCTGTTTTTTGCTTTCTTAAGATATCCTCTTCTCTGGAATGTCTAACCTTTCTTTAAGTCACCTTTTTCCTAAAGTTCCATCACAAATCAATTGCACTCCCACAGTTACCATTCAAATATAAATAAGTTGGTGAAATGGTTTACCAAAATGTGGTAAAACAAATAGACCTATCCTGTGTTTTGTTGGGGGGGGGGTTCTATGTTTTCTTTTCTAAGACATCCTTTTCCTTCTCTTTATGTTTCTAATCTACAGCCCTATAGTAAGGGCTTTCTCTGCCTTGTCTGTTAAATTGCATGTACATCAATAACACTGTGTATCAACATTCATTAATAAATGTTGGGTCCTCTATGTATCCCCCTTCCTGGGCAAGACTATTCTATACTGTGTATTTACTAGAGCTACATCCTGTCTACTTCAGCTCCTCGAGTAAGTAGCAATATTTTAACTGCTGAGTATATCGTGTGCGTCATTTATTTGTCCTGACTAGATCCACTGCTGATTTCATAAACATTTGGGGAAAGAAATGCCAAACTAGCAAATATTTGGAGAACCCCCTAATGCAGTATCTTAAGAGGATAGTATCGTCTCTCAGTTTGAAGATCAAATCAGTGCTGTTCACAGCTGATTAACTTTCCTTTCTAATATTTCCCACAAATCGAGTTAATGTAATAAAACTTAACGAAACAAGGTTTAGTGAAGCCACAGAGAATATTTATATGACAGTGAGCTATAGAGTGGTTCAGGCTGTTCCCTTCGTAATGGCTCTGTGCTTTATGCTGTCCAATGGATGGGTGTAGCAGTGACAACAGTCCTTGGGTTGGGTTGAAACAGGCTTTTTGCTGAGGCAAAGGTGATGTGAATTAGCTGCACTGTATTTCCTTTATATCTTGTCAGTGATCAATCATTGCTTTCTTTCCCATCAACCCGTAACAATTCTCATTTTTGGTCCTACAGAGTCATCAGCAAAGTGGTGCCAGCTCCAGAGGCCAAACCTTCTACTCCTGTGAGCCGGCCCAAAACACCTCCGCCCGTGCCGTCACCGGTCCCAGCTCCTGTTCATGTCACCCCTCCGCCAGCTCCAGCTCCTCCTCCTCCACAGGCTACCGTCTCGCCGGTCCTGATCCCACCGCCCTCTCCGGCCATCTCAGCGGCAGGAGGCTCCAAAGCTCCGGTGAGGAGCGTGGTGACCGAGACCGTCAGTACTTACGTGGTAGGTACCACACACTGCCGTGTTTTGTCCCAGTGCCAGTGACCTTCCTCTCTTGAATTGTTGAGCTGCTGGGTGGCTCATCGTCTCAAACTGATGGTACCTGGACTTGTGATGTTGCTCTCTATTAAGCCGCTCTTTATCCAGCCCTGTGCACGTGTTTTGAGGGGTTGATAGCTTAACTAAAACACTACCACTTGGACTGAATTTTTTCTTTGTTCCCAGTTCAATGTTTCAAGTTTCTTCTAACAAGTCCAGTTGTATCCCACTTGGTATTCTCTGCTAACTGAGCTAGGGCATTTATTTTTGGAGGTGGAAATTTTTTTAGAGATGCTTTCATAAGTGCTGAATTGAAACCTCAAGTGTCAAACTCGCCATAGATTTTGCTGTCAGTCGGGTAAAGTACAAAACCCTCACGCAACATCAAGAATTTGACTTAGCCCTCATTTGAAATGTGTAGAGTCCACTAATCTCTTTTCTGGGTTCCTCAACACACTGAGATTGCAAATGTTTGTGCATCTCACAAAGTCTGTGGATAGTTTGTTAGTCTGCAGTTCATTAGTCTGTTTGACATACGCTCTGAACGTGGCCTCTGTCTGGTAGCGTTAAGACTTCCTCAGTCTTTTAGAGAAACCTCCCATCTAACGTGATGTAGGAACTGCAGTCCCTAAAAGAACGTGGACATACCTCTGGGCCGGAGTAGGATTGCTGTGCTGCTGAAAATTTCAGCTTCAGGTGCAATGTAAAATGGAAGTCCTGAACATTTCTGGTCATTCAAGAGCAGCAGATACCATTAACAACAGTAGCAGTGTTGTTATCCTCCCTGTCCTGGCTAGGTTCCAGCTTGGTTAGTGACACCTTGCTTATCTGTAGTGGGTAGCAGTTTTGAAATCTCGCCATTTAAAACACCTAAAACTTGCTTTTGTTACGGAGTTTACTGTGCTTTAATTGCAACGTATCCATTATTTTTTCTCCTTTTTTTTCTTTTTAATTCCTGTTTTTGTAGTGATTCCTGGTGTAAATCTACCCTGCTGTTTCTAATGGAAAAGGTGCTCTTCCCCGCTGGCCTTAAACTGTTGTATCATGTTACTGGTCTCTATTTAAACAGCTGCTACATTTCAGTCCCGAGTTAGTTACAGCACTAGATGACCTCACATAGGCTGTGGGTATCTTCAGGGTGCAGGATACACATCCTCACCTTCAGTATCACAGGTGTAAATGCAGTGTCACTCTTACGTATTACAGCAGTGCCCAGAAGCTTGGAAATTCACTCTGAGAGAGACACATTTCCAAAATACTGTCCTACATCCCATTGTCTTCAGGAAGTATGTAAAGCAAATAATTTAGAGATTGTGTTAGTTTAAAGAAGGGCAACCTAAAACTTGGCCTAGGTACTTCCCAGTGGTGACACTCTTGGCACCTTATTGGAGAATTCAGACGACATGTAGGCTCCAGGTTATTTCTTTCTTTTACAGCACTATGGTTGAAACCAGGGTTTTACTGCGTTAGGATCCGACGGTGCACACAGGCAGAGAGGCTCCTGATGTGAGACATTTGTAAGTCAAAAAGCTGAGAGAGAGCTTGGGCAAAAAAGGGAATAATTAATAACTATTAGCCTTTTGCGTGAAGGGAATCCAGGACACAGAATGATGAAATGGCTTTCCCCAGGAAAGCTCTTCTGGAGATAAGATTGGAGGCAGTGTGACAGAGGTGCGCACCTCCCTTCTGCAGGGTAGGACAGGAGGATGATTTTATAGTTTAAAAAAAAAAAAAAAGGTAAGGTGTGGGCTGTCCTTGGAGGGATAGCATCTCAGTGAGCGTGCTCTGCTCATTAACTCCCAGCGGTTTGTACTAAAATAGCATTCAGCGATCACATACTGTCCCTCCTTCCACGACCCTTGGCTCGTTAAGGAAGGGGAAGTTACGCAATGTTTTTCACATCCTCCTTCGAGCTCTTGTTTAACAAACAGGCAGAGGTTTCCATAATTACAGCCCACCCTGCCCCTCTCCAGCCCCTGAAAGCCTGAGACGGGGATTCTGCAGACAAACGTCGCCTCCTGAAAAACTAAGTTTGGAAAAGTTACGGTGTCTGCCTTGTGATGGGACGACGACACGGGGCGGTGCTGCCTGCACCTGGCAGCACCCTGGGCGGGGTGCCGGGCCGGAGGGCAGTGGGGGTGCCGCTGGGTTGCTCAGGCAGGTTGTAAAGGGCTGTAGCTGCCAGCCCGGCAGCACCGCTTCTCCGCGGCGCCGTGGCACAGCATCCTCTGCTTCCCCAGCAGCGTCACCCCACCGAAATGACCACGGACCTTTTCACGCAGCGTTTACCTGCAGAGCAGATGCTTCTCTGCCACTTTAAAATGACTTTGCAGGTGTGAGATTTGAGGTGTAGATAGGAACAGGGATTGCAATCAACCAGCTTTAAAGTCGTGTTCGTTGTTTGACGTTGCCGACTCCATATTGCTGTTGGGAAGGGGATTGTTCCCTGCTTAATATTCCTGAGCTTGGTATTTTCCAGTTTTAAACCACAAAAAAATTCAGGGCTTTAAGAGGAGTCAGTCAAGAGTGATGTGTTGGTTGCGGCTCTGGTACATTCCTATTGATTTTTCAGGAAGTGGTGTAAGATGTACAGACCACCGTGTAGTGGCCTTTTTTTTTTCTTCTTTTTTCTAAGAGCATTTGCGGCTTTTTGTCTACTACTTTTTAATATCATTTCTGGAAGCTGTACAGATTGCGAAAAGTTATTGCCTTAGATAGGCGTAAATGCACAAAAGCTGGGAACAAAACAGTTTATGTTCTTGAGATTCAGTGATAATGTGCAAATCTTCATAAAGGAATGATGAAATCAGGATAATACCCCAGACATTTTGTGCTTCGTATTAATTGCACTTCTTCGGGTGGATTTCATGACATTTTGCCTGTATGTTTTTACCAAAGAACTGTTAAAGAAACCACTTGAAATTTAAAAATATCAATAATGAGTCTAGCAGGATGTAAACATGAAAAAATTTCATAAAGCTCTAAATATCGTAAGTCCAGTAAGCAGCTGCCTAATACTGTAAATGATCTGCCTTTCTTGTTTCGTTTACCCTTTAGTAAATTGTACCGTGACTCAAATGTCATAAGGGGAATGGAAAGTTACTCAGTAACAACTTTTTTTATATCCTGATCTTATCAGCTAGTTGAAGTTGAAGACTTTGGCTAATAAGTAATACAGCAATATATACACACGGCGCTGTGTATTTTACATGCACATACGACTGTTATCTTACGCAGGATGCCGCCGTTGCTCGTTCCTGCCATGAACAGGGGAGAATTTAAAAAGTCACTGTAGTATAGGCAGAGAAGGAATTGTGTCTTTAAGCCCTGGCTGCTAGATGTGAATGCATGTGCTTAGGTCGGCTGGTGTAACTGGCTTTACTGGTTTACAGGACAATACAGAAAAATGCACGCTTTTGTCATCGCGTGCAGTATAGGAGATTCAATTAAGACATAACGCCGAGCACTTACGATCCGAGAATTCATAAATAACGACGGTGGCCCCTGAATAGCTTTGTCAGATCAAGCGAGAACCTTTGGTGGTGGGTTTGAAATGTCAGGTTTGCTGCCTGCTTAGCCCTGAAAACGACCGAATTTTCCTTTTCTTTGCACCAGATCCGAGACGAGTGGGGTAACCAGATCTGGATCTGTCCTGGCTGTAACAAGCCAGATGATGGCAGTCCAATGATAGGTTGTGATGACTGCGATGATTGGTATCACTGGTAAGTTGCTCTCATCCATCCTATTCTGCTCTTCCTTGGCAGATTGGGGCTATATTATTAAAACCTTTTTTTTGTTTTATAGTGGTTCATGACACTGGGAATATTTGAATGGCTTTGCTATGTCCAATTTAATAATCTGGGAGATATTTTTATCTCTGTTTCTCTGGAATTTGAAAAAGCAGATTTTAAGCTGTGGAGGAGCGTTACTTTTTAATTAATGGGCAATGGTGATAACAGTTGTTTTTTGAAACTGCTGGGAAATATTGCTGATACCGATAATTTTGTGAGAACTACAGGATTATGAACGTAGTGTATACAGACAGACATTTCAAATTATGAAGCATTGTATGAACAGTAATATAAATGTCAGCCCTTATAAAAGGGTTGGAGGGAATTAATCACTTTTTAGGCATTTTCTTAAACGGCTACGTAAAATCATAAGGTTTTTTGCAAATGTGTTGAAGAAGCATTTGAAATTATTTTAAATCTAGCCTATTATACCTGAGAGTGCGCTCATATTTTCTGTTAAAATAACGTTTCTTATCGGAGTGTCCTTTCAATATTTCTGTTTTGTTTCAAAGCAAGTGTTCTTTAGGTTTCTGTTCGATCATTATATTCATTAAGATAATGGTAATATAATCGCTATATTAATTTGAAGGCCAGATCCTGTCTCCCACTGGGAAGTTTCGTGTCTTTGGGTAAGAGAAGTGACGTTACTCCACTGAGATGGTCCGGTGTTTTCCTGTCCTTCACAGGCCTTGCGTTGGGATTACCACTGCACCCCCAGAAGAGATGCAATGGTTCTGCTCCAAGTGTGCCAACAAAAAGAAGGATAAAAAACACAAGAAGAGGAAGCACAGGGCACACTGAAGGCTTTGCAGCGGACTGAAGTCGTGCGGTCGCCGCGGCACCTCCTGCCCTGACTCCCGTTGCGGGGGAGGTCCAGCCTGCTCGTGTCTCACCCTTCGTCACCGGCTGTTAGGGTTATGACTCTGGAGTGAATCAGGGGCGAGGAGATGCTCTCTGTCAGGGCCTGTTGCGTTTTGCAGACCGTCCGAGCCCAGGGCGTTGGATTTTGGTACATTCTGAATCGTTTCTTTCGCCTACCGGAGGAAATTTGCACAGAGCGATATGAAGACTTGGGTAGTTCATGGTACCGCTCCCGCTCCTGTGGCTCGGCAGCAGCAAAGATGAATGTTGTAAATACAGATGTTTGTCCTATTCTTTCTCGATTTGTTATTAATCCCTCTGGAACCTTTGCAGGAAGGTGCTGAGAGGAGGGGAAAATGTAAATTGCAGTAAGTTGTAAACTGAGGAGACCTTCTGGAATAGTTTCTGTAGCCTGGATGCAGTTCAGCCTCTACTCCTGCTGAGCCAGATAGTCATAAAGTGGAAATAAAAAGTGGCTGGTAAATATTTTTGTGACAAGAATATATGAAGCTTTTTCCCTTGATTTTTAGTACTAACATAAAATAAACACGTTCGAGCTTTTGTGATATATCTTCTATTTTTAAAAAAAAAAAGTTTCTATTGTGTCGATTTTTTTTCTTCCGTGTGAATTTATTTCAGTGGACCTGTAATATATTTTATACTTTGGTTTTTTGTTTTTTAGTCTTTGCCTATGTACCTTGTCATTGCTTGTACATTTCATTGGTGTGTAAAAACACTTCCCATTAAAAGATTTTCACACATGTAAATACCTGATATTTATAAAGTACTTTTTTTTTTTTTTAACTTTTTTTAGGGCTTGAGGATTTTTGTTTTCTTTTGCCTGAGAATACGAACCTAGCAGCTATTAAAAGCCCATGCGACGTACGCCTGTCCTCATGGCTTTAAGGGATTGGCGCGATCTGCCCCAGTGGTGCGTGCACGAGGAGCCGGCCAGCACCATAATTAGGCCTCGATTCAGATACTTAAACATGTGGTAACTTCTTAAGAAGTGAGTAATCCTGTTGCCTTCCAGGAGCCCGTTCCCACACTTGGTTATACACGTGCTCAAATGCCTTCTGAATTGAGAGCTGAGGCCAGGGGGCTCTGCACTTTTAATGGGAGCTACAGTGTGCTAATCTGTAGCTGGAACTCAGCTTTTTGGCTTTTTTTCCTTCTTCTTTTTTTTCCTTTTTTTTTTTTTTTAAACAAGTGGTAGTGAGTTTGCCAAAGCGATCAGGCTCGTGTTTAGATGGAGGAGATGCAGAATGGCGTCGAGGCCAGAAGATGCGTTACTCTGCTTTGCGTATCCCCTTGGAAAGACCGGTAAAGCGAATACGAGTCGTATTCCCCATTGAAAACGAGGGGGGAAATTGCAGAGAAAAGAAAAAAAACCAACAAGTCAGTATTAGATATCTTAGTGCAATGGGTCTCAGAACTAAATAAAATATAAGAGTCAATCTGGGGAAAAAACTATACCTTTTATTTCCGAAGCGATTTTAGACTTCATTGGTTAATTTGGAGATGTTTCTAGTTTAAACCACACAGTGAGAAATATCTGATGTTTGAGAATATGGCCCTTTAACCTGTTGTGCAGATATTAAGAGTTATTTTTTAAATGCATCCAAATTGATATTAATGAGAATGAATTAGTCATGTTTTTAAAAGTACCAGTCTAGTTAGGGAAATGAGGCTTTGCCGACAGAACTGTTAAATTGCAAATCGGTGGAGATATGGATGAAATTGGTTTATTAAAAGTGCACTGTTACCTTCTTTGTTCAATGCCACCTCATTTATATTCTGTCCCTGTTAATTACCAGTCAAGAAAGTTCTTGGGTTTCTTTTTTTTATTTTATTTTATTTTGAATTGTTGGATGTTGCAAACCTGGTTCTTGTTTTTCTCTGCGTGTAATGTGCAGACATACAAAATACAGAATCTTTGGTCGTTTCTGGTTGCAATAATAAAGAACTAGCTTTTGGAAAGTTGTTTATCCCTTTCCTCCTTCCCTCCGTTAATCAGAACGTCTCACATTTAATCAACTAAATTATTCAAGGTGCCATGGGAGGGCTGAACTTGGCCGTTTCGACGCCCATTCGGCTATTTCTATGCGTGCTTGTGCGTTCCTACCCCGGGTCTTATGATTTTATAAATGACCCCTGTGGCAATAAAACCCAAGCATCATTTTCAGGAGGCTTGTGTGGCTGATGGGATTAGTAATGGGAGAAGGGGGCCCTTCACCTCCGGGTCATCGGTTTGAAGCCAGCCTTGGTCCGTAGCTGTGCAGAGCCTGCCTCCCCTTTCACTTACACTGGTGTGTATCAGGAATCAGTGGTAAAAAAGAATAATCAGCTTCCAAAAATAGTTACCTCCTGAGCAACCATGTGGCATGGACCTTCCTTACAGCCCCTTGTACCACCCAATGCTGAGCAAGCCCAGCTCCTTCCCCAGATGTTTGTATTTGCTGCTGTAACTTCACGGGTTGCGTTTCTTCTCCATAAACCCTTGCCAGAGTTAGGGCTGCTCCCTTGATTCGCTGCTCGGTTTTGTGGTTGGGCATTTGTGTTCCTCTGAATCCATTCATGATCTGGGCTTCGGACACCTCCGTCCGTGGGAGGAGGGCAGGGCGGGTGGGTTGCAGGTTGGTTTGCTCAAAGGGTGTCATGGAACAGCTTCAGTCTCTCCGAGTGGTTTTCCTGCCTCGGAGGGCAGCTTCATCCAAGAGAAAAGTCAGTTGTGAGCCCTGGCTCTGGAAAACATCTATTCCCATGGGTAGTGGGAGCAGAACTGGTTAAAAGTTTAGAAAGCAGAGAATTAAAGAGCGTTCAGTGAGAAGACAACCCACCATCCGCCCATGGTGTGTAGAGAAGACAGGTACAATTTTCCCCCCTTTGCTGATGCGCCGTGCGCAGTGGATTTAAGCGGCGCAGCGAGTATTGGTAGCAAATATTCAAGAAAAAAAGCATAAAAGCTATTCCGTGAGAAAAGCTTGTTGAATCCTGCCTTTGACTCTGGGGCCAGATTATTATCTGGAGTGAGCTGGGAGTCAGTTGGAGCTGTGTCGGTTTGCACCAGCCCAGGAGCTGCCCACTCGCGCGGCCGACGTTGGGGCTGGGGAGCAGCTCCGTTTATTGTGAAACGAGGTGGGTTTTTTTATCTTTTTATCCTGTAAATCCTCCTTTGGGGCAGCCTGTGCCTGCAGGTCGCTGGAGAAAACGGCCGTGCCGGGTGCTCGCTGCAAAGCCTGTTAGTCATTAGGCAAAATTGCAACTTGTTAATGAGTTTTGCACCCAGAAAAAAACATGATGTTAATATTGAGGCTGTAAGCAGAAAGCTCAGAAACAAAAGAAACCGTCTTGACTACTGTTTTTTATTGGAAGGCAAAGTTATAAATGCAGAGCATCCATCCCCGGAGTAATGGGGATGCACTGCTCCTGAGATAATCTTCCTTCAGGGCTGTATGTCGTGCTCAAAGCATCATTTCTCTGCTTGACAAGGTGTTTCTCTTCTGAAGGTGTCCGCAGCTAAGTACAGTGAGGATCTTTATGCTCCGCAACTGATTTGTGATTCCAAATGTCCTGGAAGAGAAAGAGAATAAAAACCCCCCGAATCGGAGGGTATCAGAGCCTGCTGACTTTGTCTGGGCTTTCCAGAGATAAAATATAGTGTATTACTTCACTGTATCACCTAAACCTTCTTTGTTCTCCTTTCAATAGGACGATTAAACAAAGACCTACTAACCAAATTAAAGTATAAAATGAACGCTGAGATATGGAAACCTTGCCAGGAAGAATGTTAATGAATGAAGTTCACTAAAGGCATGCTGGCTAAGTTTTCAATACAAATAGTTTTATGGCCAATCTCTTTAGATCATAGCAGTTTTCTTTAGAAGTTTTAAGTCTCAAAAGTAGATGAGTTTCCTTCGCCGGGGAATGAATTAGATAATGCTCTGAATAAACTCCCTCTTCGTAGCCTTGTCAGTCATGCTACTTAGGAAACTCTCCTTTTCTTCTGGGGACTTTCGGATCAGCTGTAACCTAAAAAGTAGAAAGCTGCTATTAATCCATGGGTGCTGTATGGCAGAGGAGGCTGTAACGGGAGATTTACGGCCAGCAAACAGCTCGTACCTGGCTGATGTGAGCAGAAGCCTTTAAACGTGAGCGATGGCAGCTGATCCTGCTGTGCTTTCCCTCAAAGGTGATGTTTCAGCCCGTTTCAGGTTTACACCAGGTGAAGGGGGGACAGACATTTTAGCAGGGCCTGTTATAATGGCATGAGGAGTAATGGTTTTAAACTAAACAAAGGCAGATTTAGACTACATATAAGGAAGAATTTTTTTTTTACAAGGGTGGTGAAACACTGGCACAGGCTGCCCAGAGAGGTGGTAGATGCCCCATCCCTGGGAACATTCAAGGTCAGGTTGGACGGGGCTCTGAGCAACCTGATCCAGCTAAAGATGTCCCTGCTCACTGCAGGGGGGTTGGACTAGATGGCATTTGGGGGTCCCTTCCAACCCAAACCATTTTGTGATTCTAAGATGAGCCCTTTGTGCTTACAGAGCGACCATTTGCACCAGGATGTTAAATCCTGTGACGCTCTCTAGATGGAGAGAGGAGAGCTTGGGGCTACAAGTCCACCGTGCCCTTTTCGCCTGCTCCCCCTTGGCACTCCCCCATAATTTTCTTTCCATTCCTTTTTTGCTCTGGAGACCCTGACCCTTAACTCAGGTTTCTGGTGGCCAGCACTGAAACCACAGCAGCTTGGCGGCCGTTGGGTGCCTTGCACAGATGGAGACTTGCTTTCAAATGTGGTAGCACCAAGCAGGTGCTGGTAGGTGAGATTTGGTGGAATATTGCTGCCTTGAGCGATGACCAAGTAGGCGAATTTTTCAGAAAGCAAAGTGCAAAGTAAACCCAGAGTAGGTGGAAGATCTTCTACGTATTTGTTTAAAACACAAGGGAAAAGCCCTTTCTAATGAATACACAGCTCTTCGTTGTGTTCTCAACGTGAGCGTTCACATAAGGACTCTGAAACGGATTTATAAAACCAAACAGAAAATAAATTACATAGTTTTATTGCCTAAACGAGGGGATGAGGGAGAAAGAGACTTAAAACACATATACAAAAATTTAGGTTTCATCACCTGTCACAGGTAGGAATTTGGTATATAAATTGAAAAGTCTTGCCTGTCAGTTCCTCCCTAAGCCAGCGTGGTTTTGACAACTTTCTGTGCCTGTCTTTTGCTTACTGGGGACTAATGACAAGTGTCACTAGGTCGACACCGTGGTGTCACCTGGGGCCTCCGGCACTGCTGCTGTTTAGCTGCGTGTAGGAGACCTTCAATCTTCTTCCTTCAGCCTGATCCCTCCCCAAGTGTGGGACTGGGCACTATTTGCTGTGGATTTTTTTAGATTTGGCATCCAAATTTAAAAAAAAACAAAACCAACTGTGGTTTTTTTTTCCTTATACAGGAACAAATTCAGAGGGAGGAACATCGTCTTGTATCGGGAAAGCTGGACACTGTTCTCAACTCTGTCGAGGCTTTACTGGTGCGTTTGGGTGCGGTGTCGGGG